TTAGTAGGACCTGATCCTCAGTTTGCTTCTCCCAGAGTCTAGAATTTTGACCTCTGAATACACAAGAATGAACACCTAAAGATCTCTCTGTTACTCTGGCAAATTTGGTATCACCACCTGTTTTAAAACAATGGCTCCCTAAACTGGGAAGGGCTTTTGTTTGTTTTGTTTTGTTTTTTTTATGATTCTGAGGCCATACAGTGTGTGATTTAATATGTCTGGGGCAGGACATAGGAAAGCTGTTTCTCAAAATCCCCCCCGGCAATTCTAGAAACTGCTATTTTGGGAAAAACTACTTAGTTCTCAATTTTAATAGCTGTTGCTTCTGTTTTATAACAAATAAAAATCTTCCTCTGACATTGATCATAAGCACATTCAAAGAAAATGTATAAATATCCGTAGAGAACTACCTATAAGAATTTTCTACAAGAAAGCCTTAAAACATTATGTTACCGGTAGAGCTAAGACACAGCAAGTAGATGGTGAAAAGTGAGTGGTGTTACCCTTAGGAGCCAATTGTTTCTGCTTTGTTTATAGTCATCCACTGGTCAACAGAGACAATCTCATAACAGAGACAATATCATAACAGCTGTCATTACAAAATAAAACAGGGAAGATCTCTAAACGACAGAAACTTGGCTAAGTAGCTAATCAGCATTTCTGAGAAAATGTTTCTCACAGGCCTAAATGAAGAGTGTAAAATAAACTGCACAGTTTCCTGTAGAAATTTAAAGATCTCCATGCCTCTGGAGTTTAACACAAATAGGACAAAAAAGTTAAACAAAATTACTATTGTTGACAAATAAATTAACTGCAAAAATATAAGTGTAAAATAGATGCAAATTCAACCTTTAGGAAGTTTAAAGCATGTATAGATTTTACATTCTATTCATTCTACACAGAAGACTTAATTATGACAATAAGACATACAATTTTGGGGGGGTGGGAGGGTATAGCTCAGTGGTAGAGCACTTGCTTGGCATGTATCAAGGTTCTGGGTTCAATCCCCAGCACCTCCACCATAAAGAAAGAAAGAAAGAAACAAACAAACAAACATAATTACCCCAAATAAAATAAAATAAAATAAAATAAAATAAAATAAAATAAAACATTTGGTTCCAAGAATCAACACCATTCCTTCGAAACTTAATACAAAACCACATGTGGTTTTTCCAGGAGTCCTGGAGTCTGCAGCCACTGCAGAATGTCTTCATGTGCTTTGGCGGTCTTCTTGGTATAAACCTAACGTGAGCATGGTGTTAGTGCAGTCATGCTTCAAGGCAGCTGTGTTATATGCTGGGAAGTCTTATTTAGATAAATATAACTGTCCCATTACATTCTAGGGAATATAGCTTAAGTTCTAC